ATCACTATACATTTTTGAGCAGTTTAAATTAGCCGATACCTCAAACCCTTAATCCGCGAATTGTCATCCTCAACATTACTCGCCAATCCTCGTCGGAGACTGAAGCGACGTTGACTAGGCGACAACTTAGTTGCTTAACATCGGCAAAGTATCGTTTGCCACACGATCTCACCCTGTTGGTGAACTAACGGCTCCCAATACTGGATGGACGCCGTTTATGCCTTAAATGTCCTTTTGTGTCTCCTTGCACACAAGGTTGTACTTGACACAATATAATAACAATTTCTATTTTTTTGCTTATCGCACAATTAAAGTGCAGTTGTAAATATATAAGTGAATTTAAAAAAAAGTTTTTACAGTTAAAATACAATATTTACAACTGAAATGAGTTAATTACAGTAACTGTTAAATTTTTGAAATTAACAATCGCGGAGAAAGGAGAAATAGTAGGGACAAACTCGAGGAATCTGTTGTAAACCGAGCTTGCAGGGCAGTAGTAAACATTCTGGCTGCGTGAATAATAGGAAAGGACGAAGTTTTCGGTACTAACTTCAAAGCTATGTAGACATTTTGCCAAAAGTTGGGGTGAAATAATAAATTTCGCTTTCTCCACGAGCCTATAAATTAATGCACGAGTTTTGTATATAATTGAAAATACGTATCGAACAGCTTAATTTAAACTGGCATGAGGAAATTATGTGTATGTTAAATTATTCAGTAGTATGTTTGATTAAAAGTTAGATTAAGTAGGTTAAGTAGGCAAGAAGGTGAACCGGTTTTATGAAAGCCAATGTTATAATCTTTTTCGTATAAGCCGGGCAAATATTTCTTTAATTGACTTGAGAACAATTTATTTCTAAGGAAAATACCTAGTTTAATCCTTTTTTTTACGTCTTTTATTCTTTTTTTACTTACGGTATATTAAAACTACCTTCAATTGGGAAACAAGTAACGGCGAGTGTGTAAAATAAATAAACAACAGTATAGAAATTACCTATTGGCAATACTCCTATGGGCCCTAGTTATTCTCTACTTAATTGAGGTTTGTTTCACCATCACTGCAAAGAAGATCCCGAGGTCGTTTTAGTCGGTTAGGAGGATTGCAGGAAACGTCAGGATAAGTTTTTTTATTTGAAGATTTATGTTGGTTGGGTGGTTTGTACGAAATTGGCGATAACTGCAGTGGATTACATCTTTGACAAAAGGAATTTTAGGTCTGTCTGGGTAGTTTCGTTGGTCATTTAAAATGGTTTAGGCTCTTTTGATCCAAAGAATATTGGAATATCCAACAAGTTTTTTTATCTTTACTATTTTTAATTTACACTTGACAGGACAACATGCAGTACTGATTTTATAAAGATTGAAGAAATTTGTTAATAATCTGGGAGAGCTGTTATGGGGTTGGATATACGTATACTGCTTTTTGTGGGCACTCAACAATTACTTTCTAATTCATCAACATATCATTAGAATTTGTTAAAGCTGGTGAGTTTATAGAACAGCTTATTCATTAAACAAAACTAACGACACATACGTGATACACGATACTTCCCCAAGCTAATAATCAGGCCAGTTTTCCCAATTAGGTGCTTCAATTATATATGGTGCATGCAGATAAATTTCACGCATGTATACAATTTATTAACGTCCAGCTTCCAACTTTCCCGACTTTGTGAAACCATATTGGGCCAATATGGATAGAGTCCGATCAACCTGTACTCGCACTGTCCATTTTTTAGCTTGGTGCAGCCAGGCAGATGTTCAAGTATGCCATAGGAGATAAATTTTGATCAAGCTGCCGTCAACCCTATCGTAAGCCTACAATATTAAATTATGAACAATATTAGTAGTTAATCTAACATGTCTTTTAAAATACAATGTATTGGGTATTACCACCTGACTATATCAAAGCTAATATGATAAGATAAGAGATTATAACATCGTGTGCTTGCTATTCTTACAAGAAAAAAAACAAAAAACGCTACAATATATACATGTATATACTTTTTTATACGAAGACACACAATTTTAACATCATTTTAAAATTATCTTTTCCGTGCTAGCATTTCCTTTATATATGGATTTGTTGAACTGAAAACACCCGCCTGCTTTTACACTGCTATTAGAGATCGATTTTCGGGGCATCCGCCTCCCCTCATCATACTTGAGTTTCGAAAATATACAAAATTACATACTATTTTTCAAAATAACACTTTTCTTACCGTTAAACATATAAAATATATATAATAAAAATATGTTAACAAGCTATTGTATTTACTATTGTAAGTTTTATATGTTAGTTTTACAGTTTTCGTTTTTTAAATTTTTATTAATTTAATTATAATTTTTTATTTACGTTGTTACAATATTTATATATCTTGCATATTATGTTTTTATCTTATTATTTACTCTATCTCCCTCGGTCTCTTACTCTCTCTCCCTTTCTATTTCTCTCGCTCACTTTCACTTTACTTCTCTCTCTATTTCTTCCTCACACTTTTTCTTTCCTTCTATCTACCTATCTATCCTTTCTCTATTTATATCTATCGACCTCTCTCTTTTTCCTCTTTCTATCTCTCCCCCTCTTTCTTTCCGACTCTGTCTCTTCTTCTCTCCCTCTATCTAACTCCCTCACCTCTTTCCTTTTTTTCATTCTCCTTCGCTCCCTTTCTCTATCTCTCTCACGTATCTCTCTCTCTCTCTCTCTCTCTCTCTCTCTCTCTCTCTCTCTCTCCCTGTATTTTTTTGGTAGTGATAAAAGTAACAAATTGGGGCAATATTATTGAGTTGTACATGATAAGAATTTACTATTTTAACCGTAATCTTTAATAAAAAGAGATTTCTCGAGTTCAAAAAACGTTCATAAACAAATGTGCCAGAAGCTAAAACTAGAAACATAAAAAGTCAATAAAATTGACTTATTAGCTGCAAATGCACTACAACATAAGCCACAGCATGAATGAGCCGAAAATGTTGTTTTATGTCGGATTTTATGGGCTAACTCTGCTTAAATTGCACCGATTACGTGGCGCGCGGTGATTTTCTTACGTAAAATGAGATATGGGAGATGATAACCCATCGTCTGACAGGGCTTATGCCCTTGGAAAAATAAATAATGCTCTTATGAAAAAGGTCATGTATTTCCACGTCAGACGAGACCCGACAAGCGATAATAACGAACGGAAAATGAGCTTATAACGAAAATTAACGACCTCACCGTGGTGAAAATGAATTTCGTTCCCAGTGCGGACAAAATGATACGCCAATCTGTGCAGCTTTGTCTTTCATTACAGCAGGCTGACAACGTTGAATAAAAAATATAAATAAAACAATTAACCAATTTCCGTGTCGGTTAATTCACCATAGGGAGATCCCCTTCTATCTTTACACCCTCCAAAACTGGAGGCAATTTAATTAAAACGGGATACGTTATAAAACCGGGATTGCATGGACGACCGGACGAAAGTTCCGCCTGACGTACCAAATTAATTCTTGTTTTCAAGGAGAAAACCTCGGTTTAACCGTCTAATTTATTCATTCCTGCCACCAACTTGTTTGAAATAGACAGCTGATTCACAAATAATTTAAATAAAGTTATACAGTTTTTAATAATAATAATAAACCTCTGTGCATATAACAGTATTTATAAGGAAATTGTTCCTCCCATTTTTCTTGTCACCTGTCCTTCATCTCTTCTGTTTTGTGGAACTGAGGGCCTTGACAAGAGGTCCCCAGACATTTTTACTTATATTAAAATCTAGAGACCTAGCTGGTCCTTCCAAAAATTGAGGTTTTTCTTTTTGAAAAAAGGCTTTTATCATTTTTGCTGAGACAGAGCACTGCTGGGATAAAAATGACTCACTTGGTATTGTCTCTGTGAACCTTGTTAATAGATTTTCTATTCATTCTAGATATTACATACTTTTCATTTTACCAGAAATTAAAAAAGAAAAATTCTGTTCACTTATTGTAACCGATGGCACTCCATATATCCTCCGCCTACTTGCCTTTTCGAACTTATCATTTCTTCTTTAAGTATGCCTTAGTAATAATATGCCCAACCACGAGAGTCGTTGAGGTCAATTTTTGTTACATCTGAAAATGGGATTTTTTTAAATTCTTTCTTCCGCAATGGTCACCGGCGAAATGTTGGAGACGTTCCTTAAGAACTTTATTTGATTTAGCGTTTCAATATCCTCCTCTGGATGTGCATGGCATAAGTCGACCAGCTTTACGTTTTTTATATTGGTTAACACTCCAGCTGTTTGAGCGATTAGCCAAGCTATCAAACTGGGATTTGAAGAGTTCTTCTAAATTGATCATTTTCCACTACTAGTTAAGGCGTACGGCCCTACCTAGGATTTTCTTGTGTGGTCTTTTGGAATATAAAATCATAAAATGTGGCAAGTTTAGGCGCCGACAAACATCTGAGGCCATCGCCGACCCTCTGCGTGTTTTTATTTTTCAGGACTTTCGCACATATTTTTCATATATATCCTATTTGAGCGTTTGACTTGTCGCTGACTCTCTGCTTTGGATTATTTAAATAGGTATAATTGACTTTCCAAGTCTGTCCTATGTTTTTTGTTATTTCCAAAATCGATGTTCTACGGTTTATCATTCATACAATTATTGCGTGTTCAGAAAGGGTCAAGCAACTGGCAAGACCCAGTCAAACTTTTACTTCGAAAGTAAAAAAAACTGAGTTTCATAACTTAGTATCAATTGGAATTAGGAATTATTAAGCAACAAAATTTAGTTGGAAAAGTCTTTGATGTTAAAAATATAATGAAAACACAATTATGTAATGTATAGACAATATACTAGGGTGGACTTTATGGCCCGAACTTTATGTTTTTGTAGGCCTGTGAGGTGTGTCATCTACAACCTTACTACTACTATTTAGCCTTTTCAATGAGTTATTCTAATCCATTATTGCATTAGGTAGTTGATGCTTAGATTTTTAAATATATTAACTTTGGGATGACGGAAATAAATATTTTTTGTGCTTTCATAAAAATCGATAGGTTTTTTCGCTATAAAATAGTCCGGGTCAATCTAACATTTCGAAGAAAGGCGTCCATCCTTGAGAAATTATGAGCTATCGTTATTTAAAAAAGGAGGGTGTTTGAAAACTGTTTGTTGATGGATAACCGGGCAAGATCTTTTAATAAACGTCAAAAATCGGGACAGTTCTGTGTGCAAATTTGGCCATATGGCCTTCTCACTTATGAAATATCCATATGGCAAGGAGTAGCAGGTTTATATTTATACAAGGACATAAGAATTTAAGATCAAAAGCCTAAATTTACAAACAAATCATACATTGCTGTAAGTACATAAGAGATCGTTCTGTCGTATTTTTTATTAAAAATGGAAAAATACAACCTGCAGAAATTTCAGAAATGTTTTGGCCCGGTGAGAGAGGGAAGGATCCTCCGATGGACATCGACGTTCCAGACGAGTACATGGAGATCGAGGCGGGTCGTCCAAGCGTGGCCGCTGCGATTTCCTACGACGACGTCGGCGAGGCCATGGATATCGAAGAGGCCAAGACGAGCACCGGCATCACGAGAACAGGGTGCGGTAGTTCTTTGATCCCCGGTGTCAAGATTCCACCTCACTCCAGTAAAGCGGACCGCCTGAAGATCCAAAGCCAGTCCGATCTTCTGTCCGAACGCAAAGACGGGAGAATGGCCTTGCGACTGGCCGAAGGGCTGAAATCCCCCTGGTCAGACCCGTCCATCTACCAGATCCAGATTGACGATTTAGAAAAGACAAGGAAGCAGTTGGAGAAAATAAGTACGGACTGCGGTAAGAAAGGCACCTGAAGATTTTAATGGCGGCAGAAAACATACTTTTAATAAACCCTCTCTCAATCTAAACAAACATTAAACACTCGTTTCGCAAATACGAAATTTCAAACGACAACATATTTCTCAATTAGACCAGGTGTTTCATCAATATTAGATTTAAATCCATATATGTATCCAATATTCATAATTCATACTTGAACTTAAGTCATGATAGCTCAAGTGGTTAGAAAAAGCGGCGTATTGAGCCGAACGTCGTGTGTTCGAATCCCGCTCGTGGCACTGGCTATTTCATCTCAACCAATACTTGTAAAAAAATAATTAATTAAAACTAGATTTAAACATATGTCGAGGCCGGTAAATTAAAGGCAGGACGTGATATCCCGGTCGACGAAGGTCATTATGCTCTATTAGTCATTAAGAATGTCATGTAGGAAACTAATCAACAACTAGATCAATTCATTCATAAAATATCGCAATGCGAATCACCTGCTTAAATACATTTGACATTTTGTTCTGAGATCATTCCATTGACTGTTTCTCATTTTTAGTAATTAGTAACAGAATGCGATTTTCCCACTACCTTGAACGACAATTATTATGTCCGCCAATTTTAATTTTTTGCATTCGCTCTTTAGAAAGAATCATATCTATGCTTTTTACTAAATAAAGGTTTTGTACCTATCCGTGTATCTAAAAACTGTAAATTGTCGTCAAACGCATAACGTATTGCTTACATGATACCACGACCTAAGATGAACATGAAAAAATGTTCCTTTAATAACGGTGCTTGAACAAATATGTTCTGTGCACAATAAACATTTTGATTACATGATAACGATAAAGATAGCAAAAAACATAACGTAAAAGAGTTGGTTTTTGTTATTTCGATAGTTTAATATCTAGATTGGCAAAGTTATAAAAATTTACATGAAATAAAAAAAAATCAAATCTTATTATTTTTTACATATTTATTTTTTAAAGGAAAGTATGATATCGGGTATTTGTCATTTTCCCAAAAAGCACGTGCACGCGGTTAATTTAACAAATAACACCACAGAAAGCTCGGGGAGTTGGTAAAAGGGAGTTTGTGCTCGAAATTGAGTCAATAACCCTCGGGACCGACCGCAGAATCCGAAGGGCCTCCGGAATTGAGACCGCAGAAACTCAATCAAAAAGGATTTCTCTTCCGAATAACATTTGTCAAAGGCTACGCAGTAAGTCAGGACCTGAATTAAATTATTTATCCCAGGGCTTCGTCCATAAAATGACAGCAGTAAATTTCGTCCACTAAATGAAAGTAATGCAGCCCTGGATGAGAAATTATTTATTAACGAATACAAAACTCTAACAATTCAACTAATTAATGTAAGTTCTGAACAAAATTAGTCAAATTGGGAGAATTTGGTAACTATAACAGTTGAAAAAAAAAAAAAAAAAAAAAAAAAGGAAATTAACACAGTATAAATGTATTGCCATAGGGCATGAAGATCACCCTTATCACACTGATTAATAAATAGGTTCAAAATATTAAAATATTTTTTAACAATTTATGTAGAAATTTATATGGGTTTGATATAAAAAAATAGGTTACATCTAAATATAAATTTGACATTTGAAATAGAAAAGTTTAAACACTAAGAGGCAAAAAAGAGGGCACTTTTTAAAATAAATATTTACAATCGTCTTTTTTTTGTTCATTGACATTTTTAAGGAAAATATAAGCTATAGATAAATTTAAAAAACATAATTAAAAAGTATACTGACAATGGGGCGACCAAGTTTGGATTTGGGCAGATTTGGACCAAACCTTTTTTGGTGATTCTAAACCCCAAAATATCGGACATATAACCGCAACTTCTTGTCAACAGGCCATGGTTTCAAAAAACAATTTTAAAAGTCGAAATTTTCCGTTTTACAATAATTTTTATTTCGCCATTCCACTTGCTCTATATGAATATATCATTTGACGAAATTTTTTAATCTAGATTGCAATAAAAATATAGTAAAAGCTATCAAAGTCTATGAATATACTATAAAATGTATAAAAACAAAATATTTTTCAATAAACTAGGTCGTAAAATTTCCGTGAAACACACCGTTTTAACACTTCCAGAGCCGCCTAAATATAAATTTTTGTTCGTATTTAATTTTATCGATTTTTTGGCCCCTAAATTTTTTCCGATTTTGGAGAAGTCGTTATCGGAATATCTGAAACGGCTAAAAGGATTTTAATGTCAGCCTATTTGAAATAAGAGGAACGTATCTTTTAAAATAAAAATATTAAGAAAATAATATTTTTTAAAATACAAAAGTAAAATATTAATATAAGAAAATGCATAAAATTTCAAAATGATTTGCCAGAAGTTAACCTTGTTTTTATGGAAATAATCCGATTTTAATGTTTTATAAAGTTATAAAATGCACTTGAGAATTTCTTTACAAAGAATTATCAATCATACAAATCGGTCCACAAGATTTTGAAAAATATGTTAGAGCTTGCACTAGGAATTTTACCGACTTCCGTAAAAGTCGGTGTCCAAGGGTTTTATAACGCTAAAATCAGGAGAATGAGGTCAAATACAAATTTTGACCATTTCCTGACATTCTTTGTTTACTGAATGTTTGTTAAAATATGCAACAACAAAAAACAGTATTTTGTTGATTTATCTTGCTAAATTGTACCAAATTAGAATATGGTGCGTCGTATTCGTAGAACACGTTTGTTTTAACGTTATCCACTGAAATTAATACACCAAAAATAAAAATTTTTTAACCTCGATTTAACGACAGTCGATGACCTAGCATTAATTGATGAATTGAATCGACAGACTAAACTAAGGAACTAGGAAAGTACAATAAGCCAGAAAGCTGCAGTGCTTGGGGAACAAAAGCCACCACTTCCTAAGTCTTCTTTCGACATCATCATACTTTGTGTATTCAAACATCATGAATGTTCATGTAGTGAAATTGAATTTGATTTGACCTTCCTCACTGAGTTGGCCTGTCCGACGAGTTTCACCATCTTCCTTGTCTATGTGAGAGATCTCACATTTTTTTATCTTCGATTGGAATTTACAGATCAGTTTTTCAGACATACTAAAGATGCTCTAAATGCCTAAACGCGTCTGACAGACCAATCAGCGAGAATAGGCAGACCAAAATACTCGGTAATGAACAAATTGCAGGTTCATCACATGGCAGACCACACGGAGAAATCTCAAAATATAAAATTTTTGCACAATGCATTTAGTAACACAAAAATAACCAAAATAAGAAATGTAGTTAGTATAAGTTTTAACATAATTTAATAGAATAATAAAGAAAATTAAAGGGAGCTTCTGTTACAAATTGACAGAAAGAATAAGAATCCGTAATAAAGATATATGTAATATAACAAAAAAATTAAGTTATTTAAAAAAACGTTCTTACAGTCTTATTTGATATCTATTGTATCATTTTGATTTAATTATTGATCAATAATCAATAATTTAATCCAACGAATGTGGAAGAAATGAAAATTGTGAAAATAATGAAAAGAATTTTAACTTTGACAGTTAATTTTATTGTTTTGGTCTTATAAGGCTTATAAAACCTAATAACGTTGTTTCCTGATGCAATACGGCAAAGGAAATCACAAGGAAATTTCCGGGTGAAACGCGATACTACTGATAGCCGTTGATGCAGATTCTTCCAAATTGTAGGAAATGGGGTTAATTTACTGCAGTCCGAGTTGTATTACTTAACTTTTCCCAAGGCTCGGCCCTAAGAATGGGTCGGATATGGCGAAAATCGCGTTGGGAAAACTGTTGCTCTCCGACCTCGCATGTCCGCGGATCGTTCTCTCACAAAGACATTTTCTGGGCGATCGAGGGGCCTTTTAGCCGGTCACGAAAGCGCTAAAAATTTCCTGTAGAAAACCTCCTCGTTCAACAGAAGTAAAATCTGGGCGCGTGCAAGGAAAAGACACAAGACCAAAGAGGTAGGAAACAAAATCTCGAAGTAATCAAAAGAACAGAGTAATAAAATATAATATTACAAGATGGAACTTCACAGAAATGTTTTAAATAAAAGGAAAACAGAGAAGACTAGATAGATTGATAAATAGATAGATAGAAAGATAAGTAAATAGTGAGAGAGATAAAAATAAAAAGAAGATGTCGCGAGGGAAATGAGAGAAAAATATACAGGGAGTACAACTTCTATAGTCCACCCATTTAATTCGGAATCGATTAATTTTAGCAAACCCCAAGTTAATGTTGGCTAGTAATTGCACGGTGGTAACAGATTTATCATAACCTTCTCCTCTAGCTGGGAAATGACACTAACTTAATAGAAATGAAATATGTCGAGAGACGTGGTTGTAGAAATCCTTCAAACTCATGATGAGCTAAGGGCTCGAAATCCGGATCGTTGCAAAACAACTGCTGTGAGTAGGAACTATTTTTTTAAAAAGGATTGACCCTAACTTTGTTATTTTAAATGAGAATTCCATATTTTTATTGTAAAAATTCGATAATAGCATAATGATATGAATTTATAATTGATTGATAATACAATTCGGTATTTTATTCCACGTTTACTGAAAGGAAAATTTGATAGGATCGACCATACCGAGTTATGCCCGACGGCAGCTAGATGAGAAAGTTATGTTAAATCTGTTACCACTACGCGATTCTGAGCCAAAATTAAGTTGGCGTTTGTACAAGACCATTTTTTGCTAATCTTAATCGTTTTCTTAATAAAGGGGGTGGGCCTCTTGCTGTTACACAAAGCATACCCCTCACGCGCCTTCCGTCGGGCATAACTCAGAAACGGTCGATCGTATCAAAATTTTCCTATCAGAAAAAGTGGCATAAAATGAGCTCTATAATCGAAGTTAGTGTCATTTTGCAGCTAGATGAGAAAGTTATGTTAAATTTGTTATTACTACGCGATTCCTAGCCAAAATTAACTTGGGGTTGGTATAACACCATTTTTTGCTAATGCTAATTGTTTCCGAATTAAATGGGTGAAGTGTAGAAGTTGATACACCCTGTATATCATTTTTCTACAGAATTTTCCAGTTTTTTTGTATTAAATCCTTTAACATGTTTATCGGTTAAATATAAAAAATTGAAAGAATTTGACTCC